GAGAAGCCTGGACCTTGGTTTTAACAGCCTGAAGGATGAGGGGCTTACCCTGCTCTGTGAGGCCATGAAGGGCTCGGACTCCGGACTACAGGTTCTTGAGTGAGTGACCCCCCACCCCACTTCCTCCGTGAGACCAGGACCGGCGTGTGTAAGCTCTCCCAGGACAGAGCGTGGGGAGGTCTTCGCCCGTTGCTGGGTTTTCCCTGCGTTCGGGTGGAGGGCTGGGGGGGTTCAGAAAGTGTGGCCCTCCCACGAGGAACATCGTCAGGACGTTGTTAGAAATGCAAGTTCTTGCAGTTTGTCTTTCTGGGTCTGGTGACTCACCTAGTGTCATGCCCTCAAGGTCCGGCCACGCTCTCCCGAATGGCAGGGCCTCTTTGCTGGGGCCGAGCCGAATACCAGCTTATGTCAACACTCCATTTTTTTGCATAATTTAATTTTTTTTCCAATTGCAGTTGACACTGACTATCATTTTATATTAGTTTCAGGTGTGCAGCGTAGTGGTTAGCTGTTTATATAACTTACAAAGTGATCCTCCCGGTATTTCCAGCATCCACCATACACAGTTATTTCAATATTATCAACTATATTCTCTGTGACTGTACCTACCAATTGGTACGTCTTAACCCCTTCACTTCTTCACTTGGCCCCAAACCCGTCTCNAACCCCTTCACTTCTTCACTCGGCCCCAAACCCGTCTCCCCGCCGGCAGCCATCAGTCTGTTCTCTGTGTCTGTGGGTCTGTTTCTGTTTTGTGTCTTCGGTTGTTTTGTTCTTTAGGTTCCACACGTAAGTGAGGTCATATGACAGTTGTGTTTCCCTGTCTGACTTATTTCACTCAGCACAGTGCCCTCGAGGTCCAGCCCTGGTGTCGCACATGGTGACGTTTTATCCGTGTGATGGCCGAGTAACGTTCCGCTGTGGATCCGCATCACCTCTCCTTTACCCGCCTAATGACAAGTCTTTATTGTCCCCAGATAAACCCATTTGCTGGAGAAAGATGTAGCTGTGTNGTCCCCAGATAAACCCATTTGCTGGAGAAAGATGTAGCTGTGTGCTGTTGAAGGTGGACAGAATATATTTATTTGGTTTCCTACCTCCCCCGCCGTCAACCATGAGGCCCGGGAAACGGGCGGTGGTGGGACAGCCTCACTGTTGTCAACACGCCCGGTGTGGTGCCCAGAACTCAGGTGGC